TGGTTGTCTTAGCTTGTTGATGGGGGTGTGAAATGGTCTGGATATACTCAATTTGCAAAGTATCTGAAATAGATGTAGATATAGTAGTCAAAATTTAAAAGAGGTTGGATATAGATATGTTTTCAGATACAAATTGGATTTCTGGGCGGATACAGTTTCGGATATGGATATTAATTCAATTTTAGGATACAGTCTAGATATTCGAATTCGGATGTAGATTTGGGTATAGACTCAGATATGGATTCAAATATAAATTCGGGTATGGATTCTGATACAAATATGAATATTACTGAATTTTTGGTTTTCTTGATAGCAATTGCATGTGCTTTGGGATGTGGTCATATGTTTTTGAGTTATTGGATCGTGTTTTTATTGAAATAATCAATTGTACATTTTGGACTCATTCATGGTCAAATTTATGTTATACTAAAATTTATGTTATTACTAAACCTTGTCTTTTGAGTAATGTGCTTGGATTATGACAATTTGCTAATTGATTTATGTTGGTTGTATTAGATATTTTTATATCACTTTTAAAATTGGTAGTAGAAAATATATTGCAATTTTTAGGTCATGTTTCATTTATTTGGTCAAATTAGAGCAAGTAATATATGGATCTTCTCTTATCTCAGATGTATATCTATTTACTAAGGCTATGTTTGGTTTGAGAGAAAGGGAGAGAAAAGAAAAAGAAAGAGAAAGAAAAAAGAAAGGAAAAGAAAAAGAAAAGAAAATGATAATTGTTTGAAACCCTTACCTAGGCCAAAAGCCTATGATGTATATTTATAGATAGTCAATGTGAATAGGTTGAGTACCCAAGAGTTACCCCCACTTAATGGGGTGTTACACCATCATAATGGGGTGTGAATGGAGGGATAATGAGGGGGAGGCCAAAGGTCTCCCTCATCTCATAATACTTCCCCTTATCCATCCATTACCTTGGGTTTAGCTTATGAACACTTCAGAGTTCGTAAAGCTAATGGGGTGGATACTTCTGGATCCAGAGTAAACTTGTTTGCCTCGTTAAAACCTTAGCTGTGGAAAACCCAGTGGGAAAAAACCATCAGCCTAAGGAAAAAGAGTACAACCCATAGGTTACTCCCCCTGAACCATACAAGCTTCAGGCTTGTAGGTCTTTCAGATGTCTCATCCCTATTCCTTTTACAAGTTTTACAAAAGTACATCTAGGCAGAGTCTTAGTGAACAAGTCAGCTAAATTATTACATGATTGGATCTGCTGTACTTTAACTTGCTCCTCCTCTTGAAGATCGTGCGTTCAGAAAAACTTGGGAGATATGTGCTTCGTCTTGTCACCCTTGATGAAGCCAGACTGAAGTTGAGCAACGCATGCTGCATTGTCTTCAAATATGGTAGTTGGCTCAAGGTCACAGTCTTTAGGCTGGTAGACACTAAGATGTGCTGAATGACAGAACGAAGCCAAACACATTCTTTGCTGGTTTCATGGATCGCGAGGAGTTCGGAATGGTTGGAATAGATTGCTACAGTGGTTTGCTTGACAGACCTCCAGGAGATGGCCGTACCACCGAATGTAAACACAAATCTGGTTTGTGATTTCTCGGTGTGGGGATCAGACCTGTAACCTGCATCTGAATAACCAATTAAGGTGGGAGACCCACCCTTCGGGAAATATAATCCCAGGTCTATAGACCCTTGGAGGTAGCGCAGAAGATGCTTAACTCCATTCCAGTGGCGCTTTGTGGGCGCTGCACTGTATCTGGCTAGTAGGTTAACTGAAAACGCTATATCGGGACGCGTACAGTTAGCCAGATATAATAGTGCTCCAATGGCACTGAGGTAAGGTACTTCAGGACCTAGCATTTCCTCCCCCTCTTCCAGCGGACGGAAGGGGTCGTTCTTTACATCCAATGATCGAACAACCATTGGTGTACTAAGAGGATGACATTTATCTATTCTTAATTTTTTAAGTAATTTCCGTGTATATGTGGATTGGTGTAACAGGATACCACCCTTAAGGTGTTCGATCTGTAAGCCAAGACAATACTTTGTTTTGCCTAGGTCTTTCATTTCAAAAGTATTCTTAAGGCTTTCAGATATCCCAGCGATCTCTGCAGGAGATCCAATGAGATTTAAGTCGTCGACATAGACGGCGACTATAATGAATCCTGTTCCCGATCTTTTTATAAAGATACACGGGCAGACTTTATCATTTGTGAATCCTTGCGTAGCAAGGAACTCACTTAGTCTGTTATACCACATTTTCCCCGATTGCTTAAGACCATATAATGATCTTTGAAGCCTAACAGAATAGACGTCCCGAGGTCTATCTGCTATCTCTGGTGGAATTTTATATCCTTCAGGGAGTTTCATATAGATATCTTTATCTATATTGCCATATAGATATGCAGTCACAACGTCCATGAGCTGCATTTCTAGGCCTTCCAGAGATGAGAGGCTTATTAGGAATCGGAAGGTATTCCCATCCATAACCGGAGAATATGTTTTTTCATAGTCTATTCCCGGTCTTTGGGAAAAACCTTGTGCTACAAGCCGTGCTTTGTAGCGCACAACCTCGTTGTGTTCATTTCTTTTTCTGATGAAGACCCACTTATATCCCACAGGTTTTACACCTTTAGGTGTTTGGACTACTGGTCCAAAGACTTCGCGTTTCAAGAGTGAGTCCAGCTCTACTCCTATTGCCTCGTTCCACTTTGGCCAATCGTCTCTGCGTTTACATTCCGCTAGAGACCGTGGTTCGATGTCATCGTCGTATTCAGTGACGTGAACGGCAATATCGAACGCAAAGTCGTCGTCGTCGACTGTGCTTTTTCTGTCCAGTACCTCCTTAGTACGTACAAAATTTAATGATGTTTCTCCTATTTGTTCCTCTTCAGGGGAATCTAGGAGGGGAGAGGAAGCTGGTCTGAGCTCAGTATCCTGTGTTGGGTTCATTTTTATTTCTCCAGGATTTTTTCTTTTACGAGGGACTTTGTCCTTCGAACCTGGTGGGCGTCCTCTTTTCAATTGAGGTACAGCCGTTTCTGCTGCCGGCGGATTGCATCCATCTTTGGGGATGTCAATCCTAGCTGGCGTGTTGACAGCAGGCACGTGTGATCTGACAATCTTCTGGTTATCAGTGAATTTATCCGGAAGTAAATGTACTGTATTCTGAAGATGAAGAATCTTCAGGATCTCATCTTCACATTGACTAGTACGCGGATCATAATGAGACAAAGTCTTGGTGTTCCAAGAAATGGTCTTAGAAGCGTCAGGCTTCCTGGACTGTGTGCCAAGTTTAGGAAATGAATCCTCAACAAATTCACAATCATCAAGACGTGCTTTAAATGCGTCACCCGTCTGGGGTTCAAGGTATCTTATTATAGAGGGCGAATCAAACCCTATATAGATACCCAAACGACGTTGTGGACCCATTTTGGTCCTTTGTGGAGGAGCAATGGGGACGTAAACTGCACAGCCAAACACTCTCAAATGTGAGATATTCGGAGGTGCACCATAAGCAAGCTGCATTGGTGACAAAATATGGCCACCAGAGGGCCGTATTCTGATAAGCGATGCGGCATGCAATATGGCATGACCCCAAGCCTCAACAGGCAACTGTGATTGCATCAACAATGGACGAGCAATCCATTGCAATCTCTTAATTAGAGATTCTGCTAACCCGTTCTGGGTGTGAACATGTGCTACAGGATGTTCAACTTCGATGCCAGTTGCTAGGCAATAGTCTTGAAAGACTTGTGAAGTGAATTCTCCCGCATTATCAAGACGTAATTTCTTGATTTGATTATCGGGGAAATGAGCCCGCAACTTAATAATTTGTGCCAATAGCTTTGAAAAAGCTAAGTTGCGGGTGGACAAAAGGCACACGTAAGACCACTTGGTTGATGCATCTATAAGTACCATAAAGTACCTAAATGGTCCACTTGCGGGGTGAATAGGCCCACAAATATCGCCATGTATTCTCTCCAAGAAGCTAGGAGACTCTAATCCCACTTTCAGAAGGGAAGGTCTCGTGATCAGTTTACCTTAGAAACAAGATAGACATGAGTAATCACCCTTCTGAAGAATCTTCAGGTTCTTCAGGTTGTGTCCACTTGATTGGCTCATGATGCGGTGCATCATTGCTGATCCTGGGTGACCCAGTCTGTTATGCCAAAGTTTAAATTTCGGCAAAGAATGGCACTTCTGGTGCACAATCATGTTAGCTTCTACTGGTTGAATATATGTATAGTAGAGACCCGACGGGAGTCCCTTGAATTGTTCTAAGATAGTTTTTGAACCATCTTTTTGACGAGTTACATACAAATACTCATCCTCATTTATTTAATTGGTTTCTAAGTGATATCCGTTTAAACGAATATCCTTGAAACTTATGAGGTTTCTATTAGATTTCGGAGAGAATAATGCATCTTTTATTATTAGTCTCGTTTTATTTGGGAGCAATATCATTGCTTCACCAAATCCTTCTATTATATTAGATAGTCCTGAAATCGTAATTACAGGATCGTCATAATCATATAAGCTATTGAAATAGCTTCTTTCGCGAAGGATTGTGTGCGTCGAGGCACTGTCCACAAGGCACTCACACTTCATCTATAACATGAATGCAATATTTTAATCTAAAGAAAATAACTATCTTTATTGAAAAGTAAATTGCATTACATGGAAAGTAAAGAACTAAAGATGAAAGTACTATGAGAATTTAAATGCATATAAAGATAACATGGATCTAGTCGAGAAGATCATCCGTTTCGAAGTCATCAGCAGTGAACTGAGTAGACGGCTGCTTTTCCACCAGATTTGTTTCAACAGGAGACTTCTGGCTCGCTAGATACAGATCTTGGAGGTGTCGCGGAGTGTGACAGTTTCTGGACCAATGTCCAGTCATGCCACATCTGTGGCATTTGTCCTCCCAAGTGTTTTTGGGAATGGACGACAG